TCAGATTCCAGTCACAAGCCCGGAGGGGCTTCAATGGTTGACGCCACAACATCCGTTCAGATATCTAGGGATCAAAATAACAGAAGAGGGGGCACACCAATCAATGGCGGCGGACATTATGGCCAAGGTGTTAGCAAAGTTTAGTGCTTGGTCGGCAGTATACACCTCTATATATGGAAGAGCACTGATCTTGAATGCATCAATTTTCTCCATGATGTGGTATGCAGGGTCTATCTGGACCCCGCCAAAGGCCACGTTGGCCCAGCTTAGAAGAAAGGTCGCCGCCTTCTTGTGGACAGCAAGGCACAACAAGGAGCATTTCATAGCTAAGGTTGCTTGGAAAAAGGTAACTAGACCCAAAGGGCAAGGGGGCTTGGGGATCCTTGACCCAATTCAACAGCTGAAAGCGCTTCAAACGAAATGGGTGGTTAAGCTAATATCACAGCCTAGGCTGCCATGGACTTCAATAGTATTAGACAGGATTAGACAGATAGCCAGGCACAAAACACCGAGCAACATGACGGGGACGTTCTGGATTATGTGTAGCAACTGGGCCAAAATAGGCCACAGGGAGGGGAATAGGGAAATACAAGGAGGAAGAGTAAAAAATTCAGCCTATTGGCTACAACTAATACAACTGTGGAAAGAGGTCTTCCCAGCGAGGGTAAGAGAGCCTACCACAAGAGAGGAGGTATAAAGACAACCGCTATTCTGCAACGCAAGCATTAAAGACAATGGCGGAAAGCCTCTAACATTAACAAGCAGGGATTCGAGATGGGGTAGATGGTTGGAACATGGGGTATGGCAGATTAAACACATTTGGGATGAGGAGAACAACAGATGGAAAACAACGGAGGAGCTGAGAAGGACATTGAAGGGGTGTCATAAGCTTCAGGATAACCTGAGGGTAGGCACGGACTCCATACATCCAACCTGGGTGCAGTTGTTGAGGGGGGGGAAACAATGGTGGGAGGGGGATTGGGCCACATGGGAAGACGACGCAGCACCTAAAGAGGTGTACAGGGTGTGGGATACGGTCAAAGACAGGAACGAATGGCTAATAGCAGACAAATACAACATAATACAGCCACGCAATACCACGTCCCAATTGGATAGGACATCAAAAGCGCCGCTGTATATCCTCAAACAAGGGTTGCGTAAGGTAAGAGTGATTGAGATGGAAGAGTTTACAGTGTACAATCCAACGGTTCCAATTGAGGAACTAGAGGTGGATCCTGGTGAATGGGCCTGGAACATTAGAGGGGAACAATTAAGAGTAGCAAGGAGAATCAACATTCTTCACTGCACTACAAGAATAGGTTACAGATTAAGGAACAGATCCCTGGCTATGGGACCTACTCTGCTCAAGTGCTGGGAGGAAAAGGTGGGGGTCCCCAGAAGCCAAATGGCAGACATACCATGGACAAATATTCTATCAATAAGACTGAGACAAGTGAGGACTATGCAATGGCTAATAGCACATGTGGCACTGCCAGTGAATGTTTGGCTCAACGAAAGAAGAAGTCACAACCAGAGAAGCGATGAAGCTGAACTATGCAGAGTGTGTCAAGAAGGACTTCCGGAAACACTGGTGCACTGTCTACAAGAGTGCAAGGAGGCAGAGGGGATGTGGAAGCAAGTCAGGGGAATTTGGAAACTGGTGGCGAACACTGCCTTTCCAGAGTCAAGAGTTGCTAGGCTTTTGGGGGCTGAGGTACCCAAACGAATGCAACCCTATCATAGACATATCTTCCAGCTACTGAGGCAATATGGGTTGTGGATCATTTGGAAGAGGAGATGTCWGGCCACTATAGAAGGAACGCTAATACATAGAGAGGAAGCCAGGGAGATGCTCCTCAAGACAATGGAAATACATCTCAATGCGCAGTGGAAAAGAGTGAGACAGCAGGTACGGCAACAACCAGGACAAGAGGAAGAGATAATTAARAGATTCAAACAGAACACGTTGGGTCAGGGGGCGATAGCAGAGATCGAGGGTACACAACTACGCTTTAAATGGAGAGATGAGGTAGGATAAAGGAAAGGARAGGAAAAATCTCGACAAGGCAGTACGACCCAAGGAGGAAAGGCAAATAAGAGAAACTGGGCTAACGACAAAAAGATGAAGACCGGAGAAGAAATGACGCGCGGGTTTCCCACAAGACTCAAGATAGGAGATATCACGCACTACGGGCAGGATAGAAGAGTGGTGAGGACACAGGCGGACAGGGACAAAGGCTGAACTCAGTCTAGGGGACATAGCACTATCTGGTAGTGCTATACTCCAGATCTGAGAGGAAAGAGAGGGGCACGGCAAGCTGACAGAAAATCCTCTACCAAGGTGGAGCATTCAATGCTCGTCGGGGGTCCTTCGGTCAAATGGAAGGACGCCTAGTTCTCCTTCTGATTGACATCCCTAAGTGGCCACGGAAAGCAGAAAGGATCTGATTTGAGTTCATCAGGAAGACCTCCCTTTGGGTCATATGGAAGGAAAGATGCAGCAGAACGATGGAGTGGGCTGCAAACGCACGGGAGAGAGTCTGGGTGGGGACAAAGGTTCTGATACAGGCAGAAATTCTATGCAGATGGAAGAGGATCAAGAGTACATAGACAGACGATAAAGAGCAGCGGAAGAAGGCTAGAAACAAGTTCATCAAGACATGGCTGGCAGGGGGGAAGGTTGCTGAGTTGAGGAATGATCGCATCTGTTGGAAGGAATGGCACAACTCCGCTTCAAGAAGGAATCTGGAACAGCAAAGC